GGATCAGTGGCTGAGCACTTGCCTACACATATGAGGCACTGGGTTCGATCCTCAGCACCACATAAAAAAAATAAATAAACAAARTAAAGATATTGTGTCCATGTATAACTAAAAAAGTATGTATATATTAAAATGGTGATTATGGGGGCTGGGGCTGTAGCTCAGCAGCAGAGCACTTGCCTCGTATGCGTGAGGCACTAGGTTCAATCCTCAGTACCACATAAAAATAAATATATTGTGTCCACCTAAAACAAAAAATATATATTTTTTAAAAAAGCAAATAAAATATAAAGGTATTGTGTCCATCTACAACTACAAAAAAAATTAAAAACAAAAAAATTGTGATTATGGGAGGAGAGGAACCAAAATAACCTTGGTTTTATTAGTTTCATACTACATACGAATCTTTAAATCCAGCCAATGTATACTGATACATACTATGACTAGGATAGGTGTGAGGGGATTGCRGAACTCAAGGTTTAGAGGCACATAGCTGTACTAGGTATAATTATGAAAAGAGGAACAATAGCACTGTCTCAAGGAGTTAGCCAACTAAGCCAGAAGTGGTGGCTCACACCTGTGATCCCAGCAGCTCTGGAAGCCGAGGCAGGAGGATCATAAGTTCAAAGCCAGTCTCAGCAACTGAGCAAGGCACTAAGCAACTCAGTGAGACCCTGTCTATAAATAAAATACAAAAAAACGGCTGGGATTTGGCTTAGTGGTTAAATGCCTCTGAGTTCAATCCCTGGTACCAAAAAAAAAAAAAAGGAATTAACAACCAACTAAGAAGTTAGAGGAGCCAGATACTGTGGTGCACACCTATAATTGCACTCACTTGGGAGACTGGGGCAGGAGGATTGCAAGTTTGAGGCTAGCCTCAATAATTTAGCAATACTCTGTCTTATAGTAAAATTAAAAGGGGGTTTAGAGGGTGGAGGAGTAACTCATTGGTAAAGTGCCCTTGGCTTCAGACCTTTGTACCAAAAAAAGTTAGAGGGGACATAGTCCACAAGACTGTCCTCACTTCTAACCCACTTCAAGAATTTAGACATCTGCTAAAGTAGAACATTGACCACTCATTCCTGATATCAATTTCTGATACAACTGCAAGTTTACTGATCCATAAGACCTCCTTCAAGGCTTTTAATTTGTTAGGATGACTCACTGAACTCACTGAAAACTACTATATTCATGGTTGTGGTTTTATTACAAGGAGAGGGTACAGATTAAAATCAGCCAAAGGTAGAAACCTGTAGAGTCCAGTCCAAGAAAGTACCATATGTGGAGCTTCTTTTCCTTCTTCCCTTGGAGTCAGAACAGTGTTACTTTCTCAGCATCAATGTATGGAATATTGCCAACAAGGGAAGATCACCCAAGCCTATGTGTTTAAGAGTTTTTATTGGGTCTCGTGGGTGACTACCTACATGGCAAGTCTTAGTCTCCAATCTCTCCAGAAGTGACCCAAAGCTCCCAAACTATTCAGTGTGGCCAGCCTACTCCTAAATCATATTATGAGACTCTCCAGTGACCTAAGGCCATAGGAAAATAATGACACCTGTTGAACATGGCATTCCATTAGGCTTAGAGATACCTCTCTTTGGGTAAGGGTAATTCTTCACTGTACCACCCTTGTATAAATTTCTACTTTCTTTCCAGGGTTGTTATAATTTGACTTTGTCTTATAAAAGGAGCATCTTAACATTTTGGAGTTAGACTCTAGTGCCCCTTTCTATGTCTGAAGAAGGAATCTTTCCTGTGGAAGACTTTTGGTGAAATACACTAAGTGATGATATGTCCTGCTGTTTGATCTACTAGTCATTTCAGGGCATATTAGCAACTGTGCCAGTAGATCACAAGCTGGGGTGGAGACAATATTCTGAATAATTGGTTCTGTTTGTTAATATAGCCAAGGTCTGGATAACAACTGATTTGCAAATGAGTCTGAGGATATAGTCCACAAATTGGAAGCTACAGTTTAGTGTAGGTAATCTTTAGAATAAAAGGGGAGAAAAAAGATAAAAGTAGTATATATTAGTATGACAAAAAAGCATGTGTGCCCTTTTTTTTTTCCTGAAAGAATTCACAGTATAAATTGAGAAGTATARGTACTTTGAATGTCAATTGTAGGACCACTTTTGACTTTGTTAATACCAGATTAAAATCTGTCCAAATTGGGGGTGTGGTAGAACTACTCAGTGGTAGAACGTGTGCTTTATTACACATGAGGCTCTGGGTTCGGTTCCAAACACACTCACACACAAAAAGGCTGTGAGATGCTGTAATTTAGTAATCATCAATTTAGTCATGCCCAGAGGTGCTCTTTGTAAACAAGGATTATAAGCAGAGTTGAGACATGTAAGCTAGAAATAGCTGCTGTTAATTTGCTTCTCTCTCTCCAACAAACCTACCCTTTGCTCTCTTGCTTCTCATTCACTCTCTAATGTCATGCCATCTACAGCAGTGAGTATGTTCTTGGAAAGATTTGTGTAAATTGAATTTTTGCAAATACGTCTTTTCTGTAATTCCTGAAGAAACTCACCATCAATATAATTCTGTTGAATCATTAAGGACAAGTTAACCTTAAAAAACTGATAATCATTATGAAACATCTTTTGGAATGGGATGGGCTTTTCCACAGAATTGAGTTTTCCAGATAAATAAAGCTTATTTTTTTTAAAGTTTCAAAATTGTTTTATTTTTATCATTTTGACAGGGAGTCTTTGAGAAACATATGCTGTATCCTAGTACGATTACTACTTCTTTTTTTTTAATATTTTGTTTTGGTTGTAATTGGACACAATACCTTTTTAAAATTTTCATGTGGGRCTGGAGGTGTGGCTCAAGCGGTAGCGCGCTGGGCTGGCATGCGTGTGGCCCCRGGTTCGATCCTCAGCACCACATACAAAACAAAGATATTGTGCCCGCCGATGACTAAAAAAGAATATTAAAAACAAAAAAATTCTCTGTCTCTCTCTCCCTCTCTCACTCTCTTTAAAAAAAAAAAAAAAAAAATTATGTGGTGCTGAGGATTGAACCCACTGCCCCGAATGTGCTAGGCGAGCTCTCTACCGCTGAGTCATAACCCCAGCCCCTATCCTAGTACTTCCTAATAAAGAATGTTCTATTTAAGTTTTTACTGGTACTTCATTTGCATGGATTTAGGGAGCTCTGCCTTCCCCTGTGTCTTGAGGTCCTACTTCAGCATATAATTGCGGGAGCATTTACTTAAGTAGTTTCATGAGTTACTGTTGTTTTATATCTCTAGAGGGCATATGGGGAGCTTTTCATATAGTTGATTCCAGCCAGCCCTTTTTTTTTAATCTTAAATGTTTATTTTCTAACCAAGAACCTTCAATTTCTTAGACYTCTTCACATCTGTTAACAATTCTAATAGCTGCCTTTTTAAATCAGTCATTATTGTTAAGAAGGAACGTTTTTATTATTTTGCTTGTATCTTGAGTACATGACCATCTATAAGTTACATCAAAACCAAATTCCAATGTAGCTGCTGGGCAACCAGCCAGGCTCATTTTACCCCAAGTAAAATGCTCCCTATACAGCTTCACCATATGTTATATCCAGAATCATGTCTCTGCAAATTACATATGATAAGTCTTTGGAGCCACTCAGATATAATTAAAACCACAGTAATAAAACTTTAAAGACCAAAGATGTACCATTTTCTACTTTGCTACAGTTCAGTAACATTGCGAGGAGTGCTCTTGAGGGTCTAGAGCTGTTTGCCCCTACTATAAATGACACCAAACTATAACCTATTTTCAGTTCTATGTCTGCTCTTTGTATCTGCACCCTTGTCAGATGACAACTCCTCTTTGCTTTGCATACCTTTAGCAGCCCCCTTTTCATTCAGACTTTATAATTCCTAACCTGCTGTGAGTTTGGAGACCAGGGCACAATTATTAGAATTGTATTTGTATGAAAAGTTATTAAACAGGAGGTCCTGTTGTAAGTAAAGCAAGTTAATTTGTTGGCTATTGTGGTATACAACTGTTGTCTCCTCTACTTAAGAGGCTGAGTGAGGCAAGAGGCTTGTAAGTTCTAAAGATGAAGCCCCATGCTTGTGTGAGTCCCTGGGTTCAGTCCCCCATGGGGCAGGGGAAAGTGCACATTAATGTAATTTGGCAAGTTCCACACTAGTGAAGTTGATAATAAATAAATGACTGTTATATTTGGCATTACACTAAAGAGTGTTGTTTACTTACTCCTAAAGTAGTTATTGTTTCTTTTTCTCTTCCTATAGGAGCTTCCATGTACCAGTCTCAAAAGTGAAGGTATGACTGGGAAGGGTCATGAAAGAATTTACTGGGATGAAGACAATGCTTTGCATCTTAATAGGAGACTGAGTTATGTATTTGTCAAAATTCAGCAAAGATACACTTAAGATTAGTACATTAAATTGTATAACTTTTACCCTAAAAGGAAAAGAAATCATGAATAGCAGTTAATGAATTGCTAAAAATTTAGGCTAAGTATACTCATGTCTACAGCATACTTTGAAATGTTTTTTTTTTTCCAAATATTTATTTTTTAGTTGTAGTTGAACACAATACCTTTATTTTTGTTTATTTATTTTTATGTGGTGCTGAGGATTGAACTCAAGGCCTGGCGCTTGCTAGGCGAGCGCTATACCGCTAAGCTACAACCCAAGCCCCTGAAATGTTTTTAAAAATATTTGGTTAGATGGGTAAAAGAATGGATATGAAAAAAGTAAATATGCTTATGATAAAATCTAGTTGGTAGATATGTGGATGTTCACTGTAAAATTGTTTCAGCTTTTTTAAAAATATTTTAGTTGTGGATGGATATGATATCTTTATTTATATGGTGCTGAGAATTGAACCCAGTGCCTCATATATGCTAGGCAAGCACTCTACCACCGAGCCACAACCCCAGCCCTATTTCAGCTTTTTTATATGTTTGAAATTTTCATACCAAAATGTTTGGAGGGGCAAATAATACCTAATACTTGTTTTGTTTTATGTTTGACGCATAAACAGTCTTTACTGGGCTCAGACAGGAAGTCCATGGGTCTTGAAAAGACCTCTTTGTACATATGGTTTTCTTTTTGTTGTTTCGTCTTAAAAGGTTTTTTTGCCCTTATAATTTTTTAAACACTGACTATATAGTTGATCTCTTAAGGCTTGATAAGACTTGGTACCTGGAGCAGGGACACAGCCTTCAACCTTTTTTACCTTGAGTTTTAGATACTTTGAGATAGTTTTGCTAAACTGCTTAGGGCCTTAGTCTGATATTCCCACTCAATTCTGGTTCTACCCTATCTCAGTAGCCATCACATAGTGTCGCCACCTTAAGAGCTTTTTGGAAAAGTGATAAAAGATAGCATGGGCAAAAATAAAAGTTTTTATTCTACTCAGGGAGAAAGCAGTATTGGTTAGGAAGGTTCTGCATGCAAATAACAGAAAATCCAAGGAAAAATGACTTCCACAGTAAGAGAATTTACTATCTTATATAACAGCAATCTGGAAGCAGAACATTCCAGAATTTCAGGATTCCAGTTCAACTTTTTTGTGATTTTCATGACTTTTCCTGGATATCAGTTAGCTACTGCAACTCCACACATTGGGTTCTTGCCCAACAGCATCTAAAAGAAAGAAGGGGAGACTTTTTATGTTATTTCTTTTTAAGAACAAGGAAAACAATCCTGAAAAGTCTTCAATACACTTTATATCACACATTCCTACTTAAACCTACCACTAGGAAAGGGGATAGAATTACCAGGATGGTCTAAACTTTTCAACATCCTCCCTTGGAATGGAGGAAAGCAAAATCTGAACAAAATTAAGGTTCTGTTAGCCTGAGGAAGAGACAAGTGGCCTCAAAACCAGATTCAAAATTTTGGTTATTAAAAACATAATTTGAGGAGCTGGGGTTCAGTGGTTGCTTAGTTGCCTGGCACRTGTGAGGCWCTGGGTTCGATTCTCAGCACTGTATATAAATAAATAAAATACAGATCTGTAAACAACTAAAAACATGTTAGGGGTGGGGGGCACATAATTTGAGCTGGGCACAGTGGCATATGCCTGTAATCCCAGCAGCTGGGGAGGCTGAGGCTGAAGGATCACAAGTTCAACACCAGCTTCAGCAACTTATCAAGGCCCTAAGCAGTTTAGCAAAACTCTATCTCAAAGTAAGAAATAAAAAGGCTGGCAATGTGGCTTAATGGTTAAGTGTCCTGGGTTCTATCACTGGTACAAAACAAAACATAATTTGAAATGTTCTAGTTTTCTATTAGTAGGTAAGGTTTCTGTCAATAATGGTAATGTTCTATGCATTTCCAGTAATACTAGAAGAAGGGTTTTTTAATGTTATCTGTGAATTTAAAAAACATAATTTGAAAAACATAAAATAAATGTGTGTGTGTGTGTGTGTGTGTGTGTGTGTGTGCGCTCGTGCACGCACCTGGGATTGGACCCAGGGGTGCTTAACCACAGAGCCCCATTTCTAGCCCTTTTTATATTTTATTTTGAGATGGTCTCTTGGTACATTACCGAGGATCTCGAACTTGCAATCCTCCTGCCTCAGCTTTCCAAGTTTCTGAGATTATAGGCATGTGCCACCATGCCTGGCTAAAATTAATATACTTTAAGGCTTAAAATATACATATATATATATATAATAAAAAGTGAAAATATATCCTCATCCTATTTTTTTCCCTCCTAATTTCACTCCTCTGATAAAACCACTATCAGTAACTTGTGGGGTATAGTTTCAAACAGCTTTCTGTATTTATAAAGAAATACTGGAGATGTGGCTCAAGCGGTAGCACGCTTGCCTGGCATGCATGCAGCCCGGGTTCGATCCTCAGCACCACATACAAACAAAGATGTTGTGTCCGCCRAAAACTAAAAAATGACTAAATATTAAAATTCTCTCTCTCTCTGTTTTTAAAGAAAAAGAAAAATAGAAAGAAATATAAACCTACTACCATAGTTTTGTTTTTTCCCCTAAATTTAGGTTCATACTAAACATATTGTTTGCAAGTTGATATTTTCCCTCAATTATCTGTTAAACACATTTTTTCATGTCTGTGTATAGCTTTCCCTTGAAAATTATTTCATATTATACATCATCATGGCCCTTTGGGTGGTCATTGAAGAGGTTGTCTCCAGTTTTCCCCATTACTAATAATGCAGTAGCTATCCTATCCAACTTTTTAATTTTTTATGATGAATTTCAGTTAYATGTGAAAATAGACCAGGATAAAGAACCCCCATACACCTATCACCTTTCTTCAGTTGTCAACATTTTGCTTCTCTTGTTTTATCCTTCCTTCTGTCCCTATTTTTAGTTTTTGAGGAAGCACTTTAAAAGCAAATCTCAAACCTAATTTCACCCATGAATACATAAGCAATCACTATCCTTTTTGTGTGTGTGTATTTTTAATTTTGAGATTAAGGAAGGTCTCACTAAGTTGCCTAGGATCTTGCTAAATTGCTGAGGCTAGCCTCGAACTTGGCAATTCTTCTGCTCCAGCCTCCTGTGTTTTTTTGTTTRTTTGTTTGTTTTTTTGCTGGGATTATAGGCATGTGCCACCTTGCCTGGCTCGCTTAGCATGTTTTCATGGTTATCATATTGTAGCCCATATCAATACTTCATTCTTTTTTATGGCTATTTTATCAGTATGCCACACTTTATTGATCTATTCATTAGTTGGTAAATATTTGAGTTGTTTAGACCTTTTGGTTATTGTCAGTAATGCTACTGTGAACATTTTTATATATAAGTTTTTGTTTGAATGCCAGTTTTCAGTTATTTAGGATAATATTCCTAGGAGAGGGATTGGTGGATCCATTGGTATTTGTTTTTGAAGAACTATCATACTATTTTCCACAATGGCTGCTCCATTTTACATTCCCATCAGGAGTGTATAAAGATTCTAATTTCTCCATATTCTTGCCAATACTTGTTATTTTCTGGGTTTTTGAAATTATAATCATCCTAAGTCTGTGTGAAGTAAACTTGGTTTTGGTATGCATTTATGATGTTGAACTTTTTTTTATGTTCTTAATGGCCATTTTTATAGTTTTTTTTCAGAATGATCTCTCTCTCCAAGTTCTTTGCCCTTTTTTTATTTAGAATGGTTTGTCTTTTTTATTTTGGTTATCAGTATTCCTTGTATATTTTGGATCCTAGACACTTTGTAATTTCTTCCATTACGTGGATTATTTTTACTTCCTTATAGTATCCTTTGATGAACAAAAGCTTTTAATTTTTATGAAGTACATTTTTACATGTTTTTGTTGTTATTGCATGCACCTTTGATATTCTAGTCTTTTTTTTTTTGCGGGGGATTAAATCTGTAGCTTCATACACACTAAGCAATTGCTCTACTGCTAAATCAATCCCATAGTCCCCATCCACTCTTTTTAAAATATTTTTTTAGTTGTAGGTGGACACAATATCTTTTTTTTTTTTTAAGAGAGAGTGAGAGAGAGAGGAGAGAGAGAGAGAATTTTTAATATTTTTTAGTTCTTGGCAGACACAACATCTTTGTTGGTATGTGGTGCTGAGGATCGAACCCGGGCCACAAGCATGCCAGGCGAGCGCGCTACCGCTTGAGCCACATCCCCAGCCCAATATCTTTATTTTATTTTATTTATTTATTTTTTATGTGGTTCTAGGGATTGAACTCATGCTTCATGCATGTGAGGCAAGCATTCAACCACTGATCTACAACCCCAGACCCCAATTCCACTTTTTTTGGTACTGGGGATTGAACTCAGGGGCACTTGACTACTGATCCATATTCCCATCCCCATTTTGAATTTTATTTAGAGACAGGGTCTCAATGAGTTGCTAACACCTCGCTGTTGCTGAGGCTGGCTTTTTGAACTCAAAATTCTCCTGTCTCAGCCTCCCGAGCAGCTGGGATTACAGGTGTGCACCACCATGCTCGGCTCCCCCCAATCCACTTTTGAAAGTATATATTGTGTTGTTTAAAATGAATTGCCAATTAAATTTTTCATAAATCTGCCCATTTAAATATACTTTTTTCCCATACCTTCATCCATACTATATGTATGTATRTGTACATAATATGTATGTATGTGTATATTTTATATTATATGTATATACACACATACTTTTTTCTTTTCCCCAGTACTGGGGATTGAATCCAGGGTTATTCTACCTCTAAGCTATGTCCCCAACCCTTTTTATTTTTTACTTTACAACAAGGTTTCACTAAATTGCCCAAGCTGGCTTCAAATTTTTTATTTCTTTTACCTTTGCCTCTCAAGCTGCTGGGATTACATGTGTGCTCCACCACACCCAGTCCATACTATATATTAATCAGTGTTACTCTTTCTAGTTTTTGATAATTTGACAGGTAAAAAATGATTTAATTTGCTTTTTTGCCATGATTAATTTTATTTTTAATTTTATTTATAATTTACATTATATTTATTTTTAATTTTATTTATAATTTACATTATATTTCTTCTAATTGTAGATACTCAAATATATGTTGAATGAACGTTCATATCTTTTGCTTTTTATCTTTTTAATTGGCCATCCAGATGCTACATTTATGTGTGACAAGCGGTGTAACAAGAAACGGTTATGTGGACGGCATAAATGTAACGAGATATGCTGTGTGGTAAGTGGATTTATCATTAGGCATAATTACATTCCATTCATCTAGGCACYAGGCTCTAGAAACCTCAGCCATCTGGAATGTGGCTCAGATTTAGATATCAATAGGAAGGGCCTGTGGGCAAGAAAGAGCTCTCATAGTCCCCAAACTGCTCAGCAGAGATAGATAAAACATTTTTAGACCTCAGCCAGGTCAAGAAATCAACCAGTGGTAGCATGAAGGAATTTAAAAAGGAAAGACAAAAGACCTTGGACCCCAGAGCCCAAGACCTAGATGAGCACACAGTCCAACACACTATTCTGGACTTAGCAACTTCTTCTTTGCATTTTATATACTCCTTGGGCCAAGTCAGTAGGCAAAATGAATATGACTTTTTTTTTTCTATTTGTCAGTAGACCTTTATTTGTTTGTCTGTTTGTGTGTAGTGCTGAGGATTGAACCCAGTGCCTCACACATACCAGCAAGTGCTGTACCACTGAGCCACAACCTTACCCCTGAGTATGGCATTTTACAGGAGTGAGTTACATTTATTTGGAATATTCACTTCTGTGGAATTAATTAAAGGAAACATAACTCAACTATTGATATATCTTATCGTATATACATATATGGGTGTGTGTCATATGTACATGACAAGATAACATGTACATATGTGATATGTATATCTGTGAGTATATGTATATACACAAATGTGTACAAACAAAATAACAGCACCAATAACAAGGTAATACATAATTGTCATTTAAAAAAAATGTATATATTGACAAGGTGAAGAATGATGAAATTGCGMTTTCTACCAAGATTGATAAGCAGTGTTTGAAGGCCTAAATGCTTTTGATTATCAAAAATCAAGCATATGCAAAAGCAGTGATATTAGTATAGTGACTCACATGTACATAACATCCAGCTTCAGTAGTGCCCAAATCATGACTAATCTTGTTTTATCCATACCCTAACCGACTTCCTCCTCCCTGGTTATTTTGAAGCTATTCCTAGACATTATTTCATACTTAATTATATAAAGCTTTGTTTTTGCAAGTTAATCTTATTTATAGAAAACATAAAATGGAGACCATTTTGTGAACAAATAGAAATCTCTCCCCTCAGGATAAGGAGCACAAGTGTCCTTTGATTTGTGGGAGGAAACTTCGTTGTGGCCTTCATAGGTGTGAAGAACCTTGTCATCGAGGGAACTGTCAGACATGCTGGCAAGCTAGTGAGTGTCTTTACTATATACTTAGTTATGAGAGTTTCCTAGGAAACTCAGGCATACTAAATTTTGAGATTTGTTTGCTTAGATTGATGTGCATTATTGAACTAAATCTTAGTATTTCAGATATGTTGAGGTTTTTTAAAGTTATTTTTTATTGCTGTCTTACAGTCCCTGGATGTATGAAACTTGAGATATGAGCAGTGACCCTGAGATAGGGGTTAATTCACTAATGGATTCCTCTTCTGATAACTCCCTTCTATGTATTATTGACCTAGCTTCTGCCCTTGGCAGTCTTCTATATTAGCAGTGTTATTAGCAGCAGTTAGTAAGCTATTTGGTCTTGGGACACATTTATATTCTTCAAACAATTGAGGACTCTGAAGAGCTCTTTTCATGTGATGCTGAGGATCAAACCCACCCACCCACCCCCCCCCCACATGCCAGGCGAGCGAGTTACCGCTTGAGCCACATCTTCAGCCCTATTATTTCATTTTAAGATAATAGTAATATACGCATTGCAGGTTAACATTAATCACTTTTTTAATTTTAAAAAATCTCTACTTTGAAAAAAATACACTATTGGATGCCTGGCTTAGTACAAGATACTGTAATCAGCTTCTGCATTTTATCTGTTACAGTGCAGTTGAGACATATAAAAAAAATCCAGCCTCACATAGATAGCTATTTGGAAGAGTGAAGAATGTTTTTTAAACTTTCTTGAATAATTGTGGATACTGTTCTTTGGTGTTATACCAAAACTCAACCTCATTACAGAAACGACATGAGTTAGTRTTGTTTTTATTCTGTCACATTAAAATACATTGGTCTCTCTTATACTTTGAATGGATCTTTTACCCATGCTTGATTTTATAATACAATACACTGATCATTTGGCAGATAAATATTCCCTGGGTTATTCAGATCTTTGAAATATTGACAAATTTTGTGTAATAGTAAAAACTCATAGTCATTAATATAACCTTCTAATAGAAACGTGTTGGGAAAAGTATTGGGGAGTTGTCAGACTCAGAGTGGTAAGTAGAACACTTGATATCTGTTTGTACCTTTTTCACCCGGTCAACTTTAATAAAATAAAAGCTGAATAAAATAGAAACCTTTTTATTTTTTAATAGCCCTCTTCCAAATTATCTAAAACCACAAACAACAATAAATGTTTGCATCTTCATTTAATATGGCATCCACATCCCAAACTAAAAGAGGATTTTTTTGCCTTACCTACCAGGTTTTGATGAATTAACCTGCCACTGTGGAGCATCAGTGATCTACCCTCCAGTTCCTTGTGGTACTAGGCCTCCGGAGTGTACCCAAACCTGTGCCAGAATCCATGAATGTGAACATCCAGGTGAGTCCCATCTTCTCTATCTCACAGCCTGCTCATACCATGTCTCTGAGGATGTTGCCATGTAACTGTCTTCATGTGCTGAGGTCATGCTGAGATGGCTGTCCCTTGCTCACTGTGCTTCTGTGAAGGTAAGTCTATTATCAGGGCTCCAGTTTGGACCCATAAGCAAAGTCTGTTGCTTTATTCTGTGGTTTTTCAGGCACACCCAGAAGGGTGGAAGAACCCCTACTTGGTCTTGTCTTTCAAGGACTTTTCTTTGTGACCTCCACTTTTGGTGCATATTTCAAAGTTGAACATTCCTGACAAAATTAAGAGTAACTTGAGGGGCTGGGTTTGTGGCTCAGTGGTAGAGCGCTTGCCTAGCATGTGCGAGGCCTTGTGTTTGATCCTCAGCACCATATAAAAAATAAATTAAATAAATGTATTGTCCAACTACAATTAAAAAATAAAATAACGGGTTTTTGCTGTTACAGAAGCAATGTATATTAAATAAAATAAAGCGAGAATAAAAGTAATGAAGTCAAAAGGTTAACATTAAGTTGTTAATTATATCATCTCCTAAGAATTAGATACATTTTTCTCTTTATCACTAAGATTTTCTACAATATGGGGTATGTGTGTAACTGGAAATTGAATCCAGAGCTTCATACATGCTAGGCAAACACTCTAATGCCAATATAGATTTTTAATGACAATAGAGTACTCTGTTACATGARTCAGCCAGTTTATTTAATCAGTCTTGTGTTGCTGGACATTTGAGTTCTTTCCACTTTTTCTCTGATTAAACTGCTTTTGACACCACCCCAAAAACTACTTGACATCAGTCATTTTTCATATCTGTCTAGTCCAGTTGCTGACTTTTTCCTAGGACTGTATTGTGCCCATTGTTTGTTTTATTTTATTTTTCCATCATTTTATTTTAACAAGCCTCAGAGACAAATTTAAAATAATCAAGGCCCCAGATTTAATACTTTCAGTGAACTCTGATCATATGATTCAGACTTGACCTCCTTTTTTTTTAATTAATAGACTAAAAAGAATAAGCAAATTCCTCATGAAATAAAAAGTCCCTTTCTTCCCTGGAACCAGCTCTCCCAGCAAAGTTTATAAACTCATACTACAGTGTTCACACAATCATGAAGTAAGTGTCCAGGCCACACGCAACTCCAACCCCTTTTTTCAATGAAGTTCAAAACCTGCTCGGTAATGTCCTTAGTAAGAACTTAACTGCTTGTGAATTTTGTTGTTTTGGCCTGCTTTTGTTCTGCATTCATTGCCATTTTCTTGAGTGTTTGTTGTATATTCAGCATGGTATCAAAGCTTCCAAAGAATTTTTTTAAAAACCCATAGCTTTGAGGTTCTTATGTTTTCCCTGGCAGGAAGAGAATGGTAATTAAGTACACACAACACAACCAACTTGTATGTACATGAACCRGATGGCATGGCAGCAAGCCTTACAGAGAATGTGAGGAAGCTTAGGATAGAGTGTGGTCAGTCAAGAAAAGTTTTGTTGTAGGGGACAAGTTTTAGTGAAGTACCTCTTATTGACAATAATGATATCGAAAGGAGTCAGCATAATTATTTTAGATGGAATACGTGGCAAAGGTATCTGTGTACCAGTGAGCAGTTGTAGCATAAGGTAGAGTGAAAATAATAATGTAGTAAAATGAACAGACCAGGTGACTGTCTGCAGGACATGGTGAGAAAGCTGTCACCTCTCTGCTTCTGGGATTTGGCATATTTCTTCCCATCTTGATTTGGTTTCTCTTTCCTACTCATCTCATCTTTCAACACTTTAATGTAAAACCAGGTGCTTTTTATGTTCCTCTGTCCACTTAGAAAAACACTCCCTGCTCCAGAATTTAAATGTTCTATTTCATATGCTGTTTACAATATATAGACCTACATGCGTATATTATAACACGTAAATGTTATAAATGGCATATATGTGTGGCTTTGCTTAGAAATCATACCTAATGGGCTGGGGATGTGGCTCAAGCGGTAGCGCGCTCGCCTAGCGTGTGTGCGGCCCGGGTTCGATCCTCAGCACCACATACAAACGAAGATGTTGTGTCCGCCGAGAACTAAGAAAAAAAAA